AAAAAATAATATGAAACATAGAATGTATGCGTCTCTCTCTCCATGCTTTGTATGTGACATAAAATATATAACACTTGTTGAGTTTGAGATGAGATTTGATTTGATTTTGTTATTTACTCGTTGGGTTACGTGTGTGTGGTAATTGAGCCAATTTTAATTTAAAATTTAAGTTTTATTTTATTTTAGATCTACTTATATATTTATTAAAAAAAAATTGAAAACAAATGAAGAATAAATAAACTACCCACAACTTGAGTCTTAAGATTTTTTTTTTTAAACAAATGATAGTATCTACATTAAGGGTGAGGATGTGGGCCTAGTCTCCAAATGAGCTACCAATAATATGGTTCAAATTCGCATTTAATGAGAATTGAACCTAAGACTTCTTATTTATTTACAAGTGAAGAAGAATATCATTATTTTCTATCAAAGTGACGATATTATAGGAATATTGAAAGTTTCACCATTTTTGCCTTGTCTGATATTGATATAAATGACTTGTTATGTTCTCTTCGATAACTCATAGTCTTTGTATAATTAATCTAATCTTAAAGTCAAAAATTTTGGGGTTAGTCATTGATTACTTTCTTCCTGTTCGCGTAAAGTTTGGCACAGATAATTATTTAGACCAATGCAATTCACGTTGTACATATTTCACTGTCAACTCCTAATTACTTCTACGTACCATAAGTAGGACAAACTTTGAAAATAAAACTTAGAAACTTCAGCAAGTAACTACATTTAATTTACCCAAAAATATTGCATGCGTATCACGTAAATTGGCTTCAGACTTTTTGGATGATTGGGTCTATGGATCTCTCCCGCTTGACTTGACTTCAGTTCGTCTCTCTTTTATTTTATTTTTGTTGCTATTACTAGTCCAGTTCCCATTACCATTAGTGACCCCTTGAAATTTGGTTTGTGTTTACACGAGCGATTTTTCATATACTCAGAACACCAGTCAAGACATTAACGCTTCATTATTTAAGTTGACTTCTAGTTTGTCTCTATTGTTAGGTACTAGTCGAGTTCTCATCACCATTAGTGATCTTTGAAATTTGGTTAGTGTTAGCGATTTTTCATATAATCAGGATACAAACTAAAACGTCATTATTTAAGTCCACTTCTAATTTATCTCTATTTTATTATTTTGTTGTTGTTGTTGTTATGACTAGTTGAGTTCTCATCACCACTAGTTATCTTTTGAAATTTGGTTTGTGTTTACAAGAGATTTTTTAAATACTCAGAACACAAGTTGTGACACTAATGCTTCATTATTTAAGTCGACTTCTAGTTCGTCTCTCTTTTATTATTTTTTGTTGTCTTTATTACTATTCGAGTTCCCATCACCATTAGTGATCTTTGGAATTTGGTTTGTGCTCACACGAGATATTTTTGGTGTACGATCATGACACAACTCGGAATACTAACTCATCATTATTTAAGTGAAAAGAACATATATTTTTCTGTGTCCCTCAACTGATATTATTATATGTGGTATACCGTTTTGTATTTCAATCACATTGAAAATTTTATCCACACTTACAACTCTACAGTTAACCAATAATTAAGCTTAATTAATTTCATAAAAGTATCATATTGACAGTGAGTATTTTATGTGTGTTTGGGCATATATAATTACCTAATACCTACGGTTTGCTTGGTAAACAATTGAAATTGAAAAATAAAGGAGCATGTAAATACATACGATCTTATTAGTAAAAGCCACGCATTCTTCCAGATAGTTCGTTAATTAGGAAGTGTTTTTGGCCAGTAATCCACAATTAGGAAATAATTAGGTGTGTATTGCATGTAACCTGCTTCTATCATTTTGTTAGTAAACAACATAATTGTAACATCCCACATCGTTATGGGGAGTGGATCATGTAAGCCTTATATGTATATTCCCATCTCTACCTAGCACGAGACATTTTGGAAGCTCACTGACTTCGGGTTCCATTGGAACTCCGAAGTTAAGCGAGTAGCGCGCGAGAGCCATCTCATGATGGATGATCCACTAGAAAGTTCTCGTGTGAGTTCCCAGAAACAAAACCGTGAGGGCATGGTCGGGGCCCAAAGCGGACAATATCGTGCTACTGTGGAGTTGAGCCCGAGATGTGGTGAGGGCCTAGGCCGGGATGCAACAATTTGGTATCTAAGCCAATCCCTGGCCGTATGTGTACCGACGAGGACATCGGGCTCCTAAGGAGGGTGAATTGTAACAACCCACATCGTCATGGGGAGTGGATCATGTAAGCCTTATATGTATATTCTCATTTCTACCTAACACGATGCTTTTTGGAAGCTCACTGGTTTCGGGTTCCATTGGAACTCCGAAGTTAAGCGAGTAGCGCACGAGAGCAATCCCATGATGGGTGACCCACTGGGAAGTTCTCATATAAGTTCTCAAAAACAAAATCGTTAGGGCATGGTCGGGGCCCGGGCCGGGATGTGACAATAATCCACTTGTTTCTAATGTGAAGAAACCAGACTCAACCACCTATCTTGCACTGATTAATTAACTGGACCTCAAATCAAAGCCCTTAATCTTTAGGAAATTGTTATTAGTATTCCAAAAATCACATCCTACACTCCAAACTCTATATGTTATGAAAAAAATACACTTATGATAAGTGCGAACAACACTTTGCAATCTTTACATTAAGATAGAGATTAATACAAGATATATGGACTTTTGCACTATACAAGCAACTGCTGCCACATAAAAAACAGAAAATAATAATAATTGTTTTGGATTGGACAGTAGCTGTCGCTGTGTGACAGCATAGAAGTGCGCAGTGCGCCACCATGCGTAACACACTTGCGATTGAAATTGTACCAAAACCAGAAAGGAGGTGTAGTGGATTAAATTTCTTTTAAAACTGGACCACAAATGTCATGTACATTTCTCCATCTGGGTCGGTGCCTCACTAGGTCGTGCAAAAAGAGGGCACCCACCGGCGAACCGTTAAAATAAGAGAAACCCAGCTGTGCTAATAACAATCACTCTAATTATAAGCATTCAAATGCTAATAAGTGAATATCTAATGGTGAAAAAAAAAAATTAGACATATATCGTGCTGAAAATACAATGAAATGTTCATGATACTAAACAAATAATTAAATGTATTTTTTTGTTATTATTATTAAGAGGAGGGAAAACTTTGAACCAGGGATGCATGTGTGCAATTCCAATATTCTATCTACTATGATATCGGATCGCATTCTAAATAATTTTTTATTTGGAAAAGAATTGTATAGATGATCTTTAAATAAATATGTAAAATAAAAAATTTGGAGTTAGGGGTCGCCTAGTGTATAGAATATTCCTCTTCAATCTACTACGTCCCAAACTCAAACTTTACCCTTAAATAAAAATAGTAGCCACTCATTACTATGGTCTAGTGGTATTTCTGATTACTTGTAAGTGAGAGGTCTTAGGTTTAATTATCGCGCAAATGTGAATTTGAACCACATTATTGCTTGCTCATTATGAGACTTAGTCCACTCTCTTACATATTTAATGTAGATAATATCGTTTGTTATAAAAATAAAAATAAAGTAGCAAAATTGAAGTGTTTGAAAATTGAAGTTTTGTATAATGAACTCAAATTATGTATTAACGCTGTATTAAATTACTAAAAGATTAGAGATTAAACACTGATAACCATTGACAAATATATTTCCTATTTTTATCATAGACCATAGTGCTTAGTGCAGCAAAAAATACAAAGATATCATCGGAAAAATAGAAAATAGATTAGAATTGCAGGACCAACCAATTAAGTTTGATAACGTGTCAAGATGCAATTGGTGGAACGTCAAATCTCTGACCACCACAGGTTTTGGACGGGGTCGGCATCTCATCATCCTGCTCGTTGCCAATGAGTCAGCCTCACCTACGCCCGCGAATAGTCCAATATGTAATAAATTTGTTAGATTAGGGAGATAAGGAATTCAAATACAAGGGCAAAATTCTTTTTCATCATTGAGATAAAAAGTCATTTGTGATCCAATCTGTTTTGACACGAATGGTTTTTTGTGCGACTATTTGTTTTTTGTTTTTTTTTAGTATAATTATATATTTATAGTAGGGGAAGAGAGGAGTTCGGTTAAACCACACAATCGACAACCTAATTTGGTATTGAACTCGTCATTCATGATATTCAAACCTAAAACCTTTCACTTACAAGTGAAGAGAAATACCATCAAATTGTAGTATTGAGTAACGACTATTTGTTTTTTAACATGATGATTTCAACTTCTTTTTTTCTTTTTAATACCTCCACAAATGATAATACATTTAATTTAATCAAATTATAGAGGTGGACATTCAACCTTAAATTCCCTTTGTGACTACAACATGTGAATTTATTTATTTATATTCTCTTACTTATCTTAATTCAATTGAATGTACTTTAAATAGTCTTATCTATACGGGAGTTTGCTGTTGAGACATTTTTGACCTTATATCATTACAATTTATATTCGATTCTTCCATGTGAGTAAATCCCTTAATAAGAAGAATGAAAATTATAAATACACATAATTTTTCTCCTCCAACACATGAATGTTTTATAATGTCCGCAATTTATGTTTGATTTGTTCGACCTGCGCAAAAAATAAATAGAAGTATTTAAGCGGTTAAAATAATATGTAAAAAATCAGCACCTTTAGAATATATAGTCTAAAATGCTGGAGGAAAATTTGAATTCGTGTACATAGGCGAAGGCGTGAAGCACATTTGCTCTTGCTAATATTGTTACACCTCCATCTGCAATATAATCAATTATGTCGTTTAGTATCATAGTACGTAAAATTAAAAATAACATATGACCCGACGCAAATTCAACAAATTCCAACCACGTTGTTTTGCAATTGCAAAAGGCAGCTACGCTTTTCTGACGTGGAACGAATATACCCGAAACTTACAGAGCCAGTCGTTATCTTCCACATCAGTCTTCACACCTAAAACCTTTTTAAATTTCTGGGAATTCCCCGTTCCAAATTTCCAATTGATCCCTTCGCGTCTTTATAAACCCCAAAGCCCCTCCCTCCTCAAACCTCCTCATCTTCTTCTTTTTTCTCTTCCTCCCACCACCGCTCTCAGCCATGGAAATCCCAGTGCTCAATAGAATTACAGATCTTCCTTCCCGCCTGACCTCCTTGCCGGACCCATCTTTTCTTTCCCAGAGTTTATCGATTCCCGGAATCCAAAACGTCTCTCAAGCTTACAGTTTCTGGAAATGGGGAGCTCTAATCCTCGCAATTCTTGCTTCCTTCGGCACCCTCATCACTAAAATCAACATTTTTGCCATCAGTCTCCGCCGCCTCCGGTTATTGGCCCCGCAGCCGCTTTCCCAGCAGCGCCACGACGGCGATTACTCCGACGTCAGCGATGACGACGATATCTGCTCTGTTTCGTCAGCTTCCTCCGTATCCGATGACGAATCGGAATCCGAAATATCGTACGACGACGAAAGCAGAACGATTGGGAGAGATGAACATTTCCACGTCAGAGGCTCTGGGTATTACGGCGACGACGGAGAGCAGAATCGTAACTTGGGACTCCGCCTCCGCAGAAGCTTCGGAGGCCATCGATTCTCATGGTCTGACTTCGCGGCCGGCAAAAGCGTCGTCAAGCTCTGGGACTCGTCGTCTCCGTCTACGTTTCTGTCTGCTGACTCGGGCGTGTCGGGGCGCGTGTCGCTAGGTGTTTGGGACGCGCGCGTCGGATGTCGGATTCCGGCGATACTCGCTGATTGGGGCCCGCAGCTCGGGAGAATGGTTGGAGTGGCGTCAGGCGTCGACGATAAGGTTTACGTCAAGGATGGCGTAACCGGTAAAGTGACGATTGGTGACGTGAGGAAAGTGGCGTCGCCGTTAGGGAATGTAACGGGAGCAGACTTGGATGATACGTGGTGGGACGCTGACGGGGTTGTTGTGACGGACGAGCGTTTTGACGAGTCAGCCATGCGTGGATGTGACTCGGCCGTCACGCGGTGCTGTAGCGCTGTTAGGTCTTATCTGTTGTAAATCATAGTTAAAGGACAACGAAAATCAAATAATGCAAGGTCATTATTTTGTAAATATAGCCTTAATATTATTTACCTGGATTTACCATTTTTTGACTTTTCAATTTGGTTTTCTTAGTAGCTTCTTAGTAGCCTCCTCTTCCGGTGAAGGCTGCGACAGCGGAGTCGTTAATCTTCTTTGCCAGTTGTTTTGGTTGTTAATTGTTAAACAAGTATAAACGATAAATTTAAAACCTGTTGGTATTAGTTTTTTAGTATTGTCTTTGTTGTGGCAGTTCACTTTTATCGGTATTATTTCAACATTTCTCTTTTGTTAACTGAATGTTATTTCAAGTACAATACCCATAAATAAAGGGGTGTGATATCCACACATCCCTTTTTACTTTTTTCACATTTTTTTAGTTTTCGGCCTTCGGATCGGATGAATTGAAGAAGATCAACGGACATAAATTAACAAGAGGTGTGTGAGATGTAAAAAGAGATGTGTAGATAGCACACCCCTAAATAAAATAGAATCAATTAGTGCTTCATATAGAGATAAGAGCGAACCTTTTTTTTTTCTTTGTCAGAAGTGATGAGAATATTATAAGCTAGCTCTCATTGAAACTAAATATATACAAGTTAGATGTTGAATGTGGCTGGAACGAAACTCACCAACCAAATTCGTGTATGTTTGTAATAAAGGAGAACTTTCTCAAAGTGAGATTTTTCATGAATATCTAATACCTATGTTTTTTACACAATGTCTTATAATATTGACTTGAAAATTGATATTAAAGTTTGAGACGACAAAACTCCGTAAAAAGTCTCACTTTTGAAATAGGACATAAGCATTTCTCAGATGTATTTGGGGGTGCCATTGTTTGAAAGTTAAGTTGTGCCTCATAAAAGTAGGTAGGTGGCAATGCGGATGCCAACAATAATAATAGTTCAAAGGGTTTGTTTGGACAAATAAATAATTTAGTAGTTGCGCCTAATGAAGTTGGAACAATACAACAAACATGACATGTTGTGCTCTCTCTAATCAACATCATATTGTCTGGCTTTCTGGCGCATCAGAATATAATTAGAAAAAAGATGCATATATTTTTAAGATATTGTGGTTGAGAAATAAGCTATTCGACTCGGAAGGAAGAAACATAATTCAATCACCCATATATATACACATACATGCGTGTGTGCGCGCATATAACTTGGAACTTGGAAGTTTAATTTTCTGATGACATATAGCTCTAGATTTCGCATTCTGATCTTGTGCTAAAAGAAAGATGAGAGTTTTAACGAAAAACCTGCGGTACTGTTCACTTTAACAAAAAATCAAATTTTTACACTAAAAAGTCAAACTGGTACTATTCACTTTACCCTTTATTTTGTCCTTATCGTTAAAACTCAAAATTTTCAAACCCTTTTCATTAGTTTTCCTAAGAAATATCGATAAACAGTAAACAAACGTAACTTGTAGAACATAACCAGTTACGCGACTGTTTTCCATACTTTCATCTCACCAAAACGAAAACGCAACGTTGATTTTAGAATCCGATCCTCGTACCAGAATATGTTCCCAGTAAGCGTTGTCGGGGCCTCTTGCGACTGCGAATCAATGCCTGATTGTGATTGCTGCTTGGATTTGGGGTTAGCCCAATGCAAACCCACGGACCAGAGATATAGTTAGTTGAACGGGTTCTTCCTCAAAACATTTTGGACCGCATGTATGTTTTTGGCCCAATATAGATATTTGGTGGTGGGCCTTCGATGATATGAACTCAATGTCGGTGGCTGTTTTGTGCATTGGTTTTTTTTTTTTTTTTTTTTTTTTTTGAACAAATGAAATTATCTACAATAATGTGTTCAAATTTGTCTTTGACGAAAATCAAACCTAAGACATCTCACTTATAAATGAAGAAAAATACCACTAGATAGTAGTATGAAGTGGCCGTTGGTTTAATTGTTGACAAATGAATTTTGCGCTCGTGTGATTTTAATATTACATATCATTCAATGCTATGGGTGTTTTAGCAGTTAGATTTGATTTTTACTACTATTAATATCTTCTACTTTCAATCTCAATCATTCATTTCTTGTATCAATCTTGTTATCCTAAGGTTCTCATTTTGAAGACATGTGAGGTCCAATCACAAAATTATATTAGTTTAGATCAAATAGCTTAAAATATTTGACAACTTAATAAAGCAAAACAAGAAAATGAGTTTTCTAATGGTTCATGCATTTTAAGTTGGTTTTGCTTAATAAAGTTGAAGGTAAATTATTTTTTGCTATGCTATTTAATTTTTATGGTAAAAAATGTTAGGATTTTTTGGGGTGCTAGTGTTCTCCTTTATTGTTTATAGTACAAACTTTGTAGTTTGTACATACAAGTCCAATGCTGGCTTAGCTAGCGTTAATTTAAGGCCAAATTTTGATTTTCTAAAAGTTTCATTTCTTCTCATGGCGTAGATGTGAACAAATATTGTAAACAATACACATTGTAAATCATTTTGTTAGTCCAAATGTCAATGTAAACCATGTAGATCTTAACTAAAACAATATTCAATTAGCTACTAGGTTAGCTCCCCGTCGTTAAACCAATATTCATCCTTTTCCAGAATACTCATGTCGATGTGGTTAGCGTTCAAGTCAATACTTGAGGCTGTACAGGAAGTTGCACAGAGGGCTTCCTATTTCTAGTGCAGTAGTTGTGCAGAATTATATAATATGTCAATGGATATGCGTCACAAAGTTTGCTAGTGCTACGTACCCAAAACCTTATGAAATTTCAGAAGGCCAATATTATTTAGTTGGTTTCCAGCTGCCAATGGTAACTCACGACCTAACCCAATTCAGGTTAAATGTAGAGACTCGAAATCCATAAATTCATAAACAAAGGCTAACAAAACAAGAACCTTGATTGAATTATTGAATGAAGTAAGCTATGGACAAGCAATATATTGTTTGTATCAACATAGTAAAATGAATTAAAGAAACGGATAAAGAATCAATTAACCAATAAATTAACAGTGGTAGCAAATAATCAAGTTCAACTAGCTCGATTGGATAATCCTCTGGTTCTGCTTATTAGTTGTTCAACATGTAGTCAATATTCTGGGAGTCCTTTGATGAACTTGAACATTGACGGAGACATCGAACCGCCAACGTTCGGAGACAATGAGGAATCGGAGAATCTGTAAAGCGGCCTTGGCGGGCAGAAGAAATCCGCTGAATTATTTGAGGTCGGCGTAAACAATGGAATATCTGCAAAATACGGGCTAGGGTTGCTGAACATGGCATTGGGAGAATATCCGGAAGACGATGAGCTCCCCACTTGATGATGAACACTATTAATCATACTATTGTTATCGTAATTCCCACCACCGCAATTAATCTCATCCGTCAGATCTGAACACGACTCGTTCCCATCATGGCTGCGCCTAACGGCAGATTTAGCAATGTCTGGATTGTCGATATGGTCGTCTTGACACGACGAAACTTTCACTTTTGCATGATCTTCATGAGTAGTGTCAGTGTCTAGGGTTTGGCCTTGGAAGCCGTCGTGAATATTATCGGAGCGGGAGAGGCCGGTAAGCTTTTGTACCAAAGCCATGAAATCGCGTGCCTGCGTGTGGATGATTTTCGGAGATTGGGTGTAGATGATCACCGGCTGCCGCTTCTGGTGGTGGTGTTGCTCCTCTGACTTATTGGCGGCGCCCATGCGGGGATAGGAATTGGGAGGTTTGTGGATGATATGGGAGCCTCGGTTGATCTTCAACGGCGAGGGGCGGTTTCCGTTGATCATCATCTGGTCCCTCCTAACTGACGAATGTTGTTCTTGACGATTATCATCCCGCTGGAACTTTGCAGGGTTCATGCTCAATGATCTGTTACCTAGTTAAGCTAACTAACTGATCTTAATAGTAATTAGCTAGCTGCAAAAGGAAAGGATCAGTTAATTAAGAAACTAATTAAGATGTCGAACTAGCAAATTGAGAGAGAGAGATAGGATGACATTTGGTTAGAGGGAGAGAGAGGTGTGATATATAGAAGGAGAGAATATGAAAGAAAGGAAGGAAGCCAGCATTTCTGACCGTTGACATTTACCATAGATATATACACAATCAAGGAATTAATATTATTAATTGGGATAAATATTGGGAAACTGCTATCCCATTCGTCCATTGCCTTTCGACATATGTGTTTGAGGTTTGGTTGTCCTCTTGAGAGCATTTGTCGGCTGCCAAACGGAACGCCGGCGCAGTTGCCGCTCGGTCAAGCAAAACTCTTTTCTTTATTATTATTATTACTAGGAAAATTATTTCTTTTATAGTGTCCCCTTCTGCATGCCTAGCTCCTTGGCTGGACACTGATTCTGATTCACACTGCACCTATAAGATTTTTTAATGTGATCGTCATACGAAGTGGTACACCACACGGGATATGTGTGTTAAAAAGTTAATAATTTAAAAAATAAAATTTCTCATCACTTACATAAAAACACGTGATGTACCAACCGTGTTCCCGTCACAACTAAAAATTTCTTCTAAAGCTCCGTCCCAAAAAGATGTCTTCCATATAATACAATAATTTAGAGGTACAATTTTGAATCAATTGTCACATCTGCCAAACATTTGAGAAATTGTGCATATGTAAATTAGGGTTGCGATCTCCAACCAGGTAGTAAGTATAACATACTTGAATGTTATCAGCATCGCATTCATGTGGGTTAGGCTAATTGGCTATAGTGCCATATTTCATATATCTTTTTGATAAAATAAATTACTTTAAAATATCGTTTTATTAAAGAAATTAAAACAAACAAAAAAAAAAGTTATTAGCACTGTTTTATAAGCTGCTTAGGAGTTCAGTTATACAGCCTGCGCAGCTCTTGACACTTGTGTTGAGCTCCCACCTTATTTCCTCAACAGAGAGGCGTGAATTTCGGGAGGTTCGCCATTATTTAGTTCAGTGTATGGAAGGCAATTTAAGGCAAATTAAGTAGGACTTGAGATTTACCAATATATATGCAAAATTACAGATATATTTTTTTCTTTGGGTAATATATATGTAGATGGTGTTTGATTACTGCTTGAACTTTATATATGCACGTGGTGTTTTGATAAGAAGACGTATCTCCAACTCATTCAATTAAACACAACCAAATTGCAGATAATTAAGTGCACTTAATCAGTTTGACGGTGAGGAAATGACTATTAGTTGGGCCAAAAGCAAATCTTATACGATTTTT